TCTTTCTTTCTTTCTTTCTTTCTTTCTTTCTTTCTTTCTTTCTTTCTTTTTCCTGGTTTTCTAATTATATTTAAAGGTGTAAGGAGAGGACTGGAGCACCAGTTTCATAGTATGTTCCAGTAAACATAAGGATTCCTTGAAGGGTTATCAAGGTTGCTCAACATGAGTGTCAATTGTGGTAGGCAAGATTTGCTTGAAAGACAACTTATTTATTTCTCTAAATTTTCCTTTGTAGAAGGTGAAGCTATGTACTCCGTACAGCGGTGAGGCTCAGAAAGGCCTGGCTCTTGGTCTGCTGTGCCTAAGCATATCCTCACAAATCGACTCTAGAATCGTAGAGCTAATCCAGCTAATCTGACTGAGAAAGAATAGCTTTCCTCATAAATAATATGACTTTCTTGTATGCCAATTCTTCATAAACACAGCTGACCCATTAATTCACAGATTTAACCAAAATAGTCTTGCAGACCATTAGCCATTTGTTAGCCTAAAAAGCATACATTTTAAAAAATGTAATCCACTAAATGCTGAGTATAAAATACAATTTGAAAAATAAACTTTAATAGCTAATTTTCCAAATATATCCATAGTTCCTTGTTAACCTAATACAAGGAAAAATTTAAGTATTTGTATCCTGAGTTAATACTGAGATTGGTCAGATCCAGGCTTTAAAATAGAGCTGACTCTATTCAGTTCACAAAATTCAGAATGAGAGTAACTCCAACTGCCTGATGGACAGTACCTGAGGATATCTAGTCAGGGAGAGCCCACCACCCTTATCAAGATGTTTCTCCTATTGTTCAACCTAAATTTACTCTTAAATCCAATCCTGTCATGTGGGACAGCCAAGATCAAATCTTTGTCCTCTCTTTCATGGTGGCTTTCTGGTACTTGGGGATACTGAAATGCTCTCATTTTGTCTTCTCACCTCTAAGCCAAATCTGTCCAGGTCCTCTGACCTCTGCAGCTGCAAAGGAATTCACAACAGAGTGTTCAAGTGTATTCTCTCAGAGTAGTCAATTGACAGGCACGGGGGTACAGGATGAAAATTACAAATAAATCTTCAAGAACTCTCCCCCACAACTCCCTGCCCCGAACAAGCAAACAAACTTCTTTGAATAAATCTATGTTTGCGGAGAGGAGTTAAGAACAATTCACCCTCCTGAAACCATTTGTGGAAACTGTGGAGAGCTAACTGAAAATGCAGGAAGGAGAGGAGATGGGTGATAAAAATAAATCAAGGCAAAATGCACAATTAGCAGGAGTGTGTAATGGAGGAAAAGGAGACATCCTGTCTTAAAGGAGACAACAGAAGGTACTTAACACCAACTAGAGATATTGCCAGGCTATCCTTTCCTCAACTGGAGTACAGAGAAGTTCTTTATTTTGTAGAAAGAGGGCTGTGTTAATCTTTTCTCAGGCATCTTGTTATTAGCAGATGAAGGCTCTAGCATTTACAGCCTTGTTCTGCATGAAATAACTCTTGTTGCCTCAGGGTCTTTCGGTACAATCAGGCAAAGGCTTTATGGGAGTCACCTCAAAATCTTTCGTTAATGACAAGTGAACAACGTTGAGTTTTTTTTTTTTAAGGGTAATCAAATTCCTCCCCCTTACGTTGAAGAGGAAGAGTGGGGTTGTACCCGATGACATCAGTCCTACTGACACACATGCTGCCTATGTCCCCTGTCAGCTGTACTTGTGCCACATTGGAACACAGTCACCCCTGCATGTGGAGGACTTCTCTGGAGCTGTTTCACTGCCTTGGCTGATCTCTGCTTTATGGCAAATGGATGTGCCAAGGGTAGAACTGACATAGTTAGCTATCCATAGCACAGCCATTGAGATTAGGAAAAATGAATCCAAATTGTAAATTGTTTGAGGCTCTTGATAGTCTGTCACAAGTTTACTATCTCTTGTCTAGATATTTGGAGACAAGCTGGAGCCAATCAGAAGCAGGGAGCTGCAGATCAGACCCCTCTTCGGAATAGAGTGTGACTGGTTTACACATTGTGCTAAGCCACAAATGTGGGTAGTTGAGTGTTGGCTATGGCCATATCCACCAGCCTCTTTGACTCCCTGTGAGAACACCCCATCCACTATTCCCCAAACTCCTGCTGTTAAGTTTCTACCATAGGAGCTGCATTTTTACAGACGGACTCTCTGCTTGCTCAGTTCCTTGCCCAGGGGCTGGATGGAACGAGAGCTGGTGGAAGGAACAAAGGACAAATTATAAAGAAAACCAGTCCTAGGGTGAAAGATGGCCCTATGTTAAGATTTAGAATTACAAAATGTAGAGAAATGTTTAATAAACATGCACTGAGTACAAGCACACTGCATAAGACTCTCAAGAATAGGATGATATGTAAATGAGTGTGTGCGTATGTTCACACACATGAATACATAAACACCACCAGGAAATGCCTGGGCTAGAGGCTAGAGTGGGAAGTAAAAAAAAAAAAAAATCAGAAGGCAATAACAAACCACTTCCGTACTATTGCCAAGAAGACAACATCAACCTCTCCATGAAGCCACCTCAACATCCTTTTCAAAGCACACACAGTTTAGTTTTTCAGGCATGTCAGGAAGTGAGGTCAGCACAAATGATAGCTCAGTGTTTTTCAAACTTGGCAACTGCATGGTGGCTGGGGAATTCTGGGAGTTGAAATCCACAAATCTTAAAGTTGCCAAGCTTGAAAAATATTGTGACAGCATAACCCAATAAAGGGCCTCCATAGCACAATACAAGTAGCGACAAATGCACCAACTGGAAGAGGACCCCCTTTTTCCTAGTACAAAATACTGTACAGTACTTTTTTCTATTAGAAAACATGAGGGATAATATGAACATTGTACTGTCTATGATCATGTACAAAGGGAATCAGAGGCATTTTGACATTACAGTAAAAAGGAAGAAACCTTGAAAATAACATAGAATTAAGGACTACCCGAACACTGTACTTTAAAAACAGGAAAACGTGTATATTTCTGGGTGTAGTAATATTCATTTTTATCTCAGACAGCAGTATCCCCCAATCTGCATTATCT